GGATCTATAATTTTGGCCAGCACTGTATACAGAAGTCATGATTACGTGACGATCTCATATGCGCACTGCCGAGAGATGGGAAAATGTAGTAACACATACCGCGGCAAACCTTCCGGTAAGATCCATCAAACAACTTCCGCTGGTTCAGCCCGACTACTAATTTTCCATCAGAACCGTATATTATTCTCATAACCGACGACACCTTGCGCATTTCTCATCCCGCACAAAAGAAAGCCGAAATTCTGTTTCGAGATGCATCTACTAGTCCAAATTTGCCCAGCTTTTCCCCCAGAGGCTGCAAGAACGAACGCTTCCCAGGCTCTCGGAAACATACCCTAGCTCAGCGCGGAGGGGAGACCTAAGAGAGGCAAAAGATCGAAAAGACGATGCGCTGAAGTGCTTCGGACATTTAGAAGAAGGGCGAAAACTTGTACACATGCTGTTCAAAAAACGAATAAGAATCTCAAAAGTCCGACTTTTGAATTCTCACATCGAATAATGGCTAAATAGTTTTGGCTCGCTCTTAACTGATTTTTAAAGGTTCCAAGCCCAGAAAGGACCGGTTTCGTAAGCAAGCTGGAGCAAATCTGCTTCCTACCTCCAGACTCGCATCCCCACCGCGGAACCGTAGTCGCATGTAGAGTAACTCTTGCACCATATTACAATACGGTCTCAACCTACACCTACCGTATTCCCGCAAAAAAGAACACATGGGAGTGAGAGAATCACGATCATTTCGATGACTCTCTCACGCGAACTTTCATACAATTACAGACATGTCGGGTCATTCGCATCAGCTGCGGTCTTTGCCTACGCTTCAAACCAACATGATTTCAACACTTTTTTCCTCGACCGTTTCTTTGCTGCGAACGGTAGTTTCTTCACAATAAAAGCGATTTTGAAGAGCACAACAACAAAATTGTGCCTGCAAGCGATGATGGCTTCGTGCCGTATGAGCCTGCGCGTTGGCCGCAGCCGACATGACGTCAGTAGTCCCTACCGTACTCATATCGTAACCGCGCGAGGATTATTACGTGCGTTATGACTGTGCTGGCGCAGTAACTATGGTCAAATTTGATCGAAATCATTGCTTAAAATGAGGCAACACTTGCCTATCATTTCATTACAATATGAGCACTGTTCAAGAAAGGATGTTTCTGTTTAAAAGAGTTCGATCAAAGAGCTTATATGGAGAGGAAAAGAGAAAGTGAAGATCTTGCTGCAGTCGAAAGAACAGGTAAGATTTGCAAAAAGCGATTGAGTATGTTTCAATGGAAAAAGAAGAAGCACACATTCTAGCCGAGGCAAAAAAAGTTCATAACTGAGAACATCTAACAGACGGAAAGAGACAGTAGCAAGATTGAAAAGAGAAAAATATTTTATCCATGAGTGTTAGCTGCAATATAACTAGACTTTCTGTGAGCATCGCAGAGTAGAACAAAACTAAATGAAAAACATCAATTTCAAGCAATAGGCATACAGTAAGGGTTCTACAGCAACTCTTTGATGGAAAAAGACTTTCTTCGTTTCAAATAGAGCAAAATCACCTTTGGCAATGCGAAAAAAAGAAAATTAATGCCAGAATCCCGAGCAAAATGGATTCAGCGAAAAACTCGCGCCAAAACAACATTTGCCGCAAGGCATGAAATGTGATCGGAGCATCAAAGTCGCCGTATGCTAAATTTGAAATTTTCATTGACGGGTTTGTATCGTGTGTTTTTTTGTTCAGCATATCGTTTTGTCTGCCGTCCTTCTTAGTCGGATAGAGTCTTGGTTTTTTAGATGGCAAGCGAAGATATCGAAGAAATCGTGATAGATTCTGACGAAGAAGTGGCAACGAAAGAGGTTTCTGAGGACAA